TCGACATCGCCTAAATCTCATGTTTTTCCAGCAGTTCACTTAACTCACCCTCTAGTCACCAGCCAAGGACAGAAGTGGCTTCTCAGAGGTAGCTATTGATAGTTGCTTTTCGACCCCCTCCCTGGCCTGTTTTGAACTAGTTAACTTTTCTGTTTTTTTCTTTTCTTTTTTTTTAAGTTGGAGTCTCATTCTGTCGCCCAGGCTGGAGTGCAGTGGCACGCTCACCGCCTCAGCCTTTAGAGTAGGTGTAACTACAGGTGTGTGCTACCACGGCCGGCTAATTTTCTTGATTTATTGTAGAGACGAGGTCTCGCCAAGTTGGCCGGGTGGGTCTCGAACCCGTGGGCTCAGGCAATCCACTCGCCTCGGCCTCCCAAAGTGCTGGGATGACAGACTGAGCCACCGAGCCCGGCCTACTTTTTAAATAAACTATATTTTCTAGTCTAACTTCTGTGCAATTCTTTGCATCTTTCATGTGGCACTGAATTGCACACCAGACACCCACACCCCGGCCAGCCTAAACTAACATTCTGGAGGCCATGCTAGGAATGTGACCTAAAATCTCCCTAAATACAAGGACTCCCAAATATTAACATTTTTTCTTAAGACTTAGTTTTGGCTGCGCTCGGTGGGTGGCTCAGCCTGTAATCCTACCACTTTGGGAGGCCGAGGTGGGTGGATTGCCTGAGCCTACAGGTTTGAGACCAGCCCGGGCAACTTGGCAAGACCTCATCTCTACAATAAATCAAAAATGAACTGGGCATGGTAGCGCACACCTGTAGTTCCCGGTACTTGGAAGGCTGAGGCTGAAGGATCGCCAGACCCCAGCAGGTCGACACACTCCAGCCTGGGCGATGGAGTGAGACTCCAACTCAAAAAAAAAAAAGACTTAGTTTTACAGGCCTTGGCCTAATATCCCTTTGTGATCCATTACCTGAAATTCTGGCTGCTGCTGTCCTGAGCAGTTAGTTGCCATGGCAACAGCAGCCCCCTGCCACTGTCACATTTCACAGGAACACCTTCTGTCAAGTAAACAACTGTCATTCCCAGTCTTCTAAGAAAAAGAAAAGACTTCTATACCCTCAGCTCCTACCTTTCAGTGCCAATGTTCTTTCAGTGTCTGGCCTGCTCTCCAGTCTTGTAGAAGTGGATTCACCCGTTTTCTCTGATCTGCTTTCTAAATAAACTTTTTCTAACCTGCTCTTTATGCCATTCTCTGCATCTTTTCTATGGTACTAGCTCACTGGCCAACTCCATGAATGTAAAACCCCCAAACCAGCCGGTCTCTGTGGCTTGGCCTGTAATTCCAGCACTTTGGGAGGTCACGGCAAGTGAATTGTCTCAGCCTGCGGGATCGACACCAGCCTGGGCAACGTGGCAAGACTTCGTCTCTATAATAAGTCAAAAATTAGCCGGGCACAGTAGCATGTGCCTGGAAGGATGAGGCGGAAGGACTGCAGGAGCTCAGCAGGTCGACACTGGGGACTCAAAAACAAACAGAACAAAAACCCCAAACTTAAATCGTCTAGCCAAGCCAGATTTTGACTTAAAAACTTTATAGTTTGACACAGTCTAATGTGTACCTTGGTGGTGTAAATGCCTAGGTATTGTCAACCATTTGCTAGAGGTGCCTGACTGATCATGTAAATGATTTAGCTTAAGCCTGTTTAAGTAATCCCACTTAAGTAAGCCTGCTCTTGAGTTGGGAGGGAGATGGGGCAGCTCACAGGAAGTCACCACCCTCTTACAGGAAGTCTCAGGTGGAGAATGAACAATCTGAAATCTGTGAGTTCAACAGAAGAAAAACTGTCACTTCCTCTTTTGGTGAACATGATGAACAATTATAGAAAACCTAAAGTTCCTCTTGATCTTTTTGTTGGTGAGGCTGTGAGTGAAACAAAAGTTTCCTAACATGTCTTTTGCTGCATAGGCGTGCATTTTTATTTCCATGCAATGCACATTCTGCTGTATACATGCGCTGAGCATGAAAGGGGCACACGTAGAAGAATTAATTGAGTGGAGTGTGGTGCTGGTCATCCTCTTAATAATTCCATAATCAGAATAAGTAGTTATTTATATTAGAAGACTCTTCTACTGCTACCAATGGCTTTTTTTTTTTTTTTGAGTCAGAGTCTCACTCTGTCGCCCAGGCTGGAGCGCAGTGGCATGATCACAGCTATTGCACACTTGACCTGCTGGACTTGGATGATCCTTCTGCGTCAGCCTCCCAAGTAGCTGGGACCACAGGCATGCACCACATTGCCTGGTTAATTTTTTTTAATTATAGTAGAGACAGAGTCTCTGCCATGTTGCCTAGGCTGGTCTCGAACTCCTGGACTCAGGCAATCCTCTCGCCTCCCAAAGTGCTGGGATCACAGACATGAACCACCATGCCTGGTCACCAACTGCTGAACATTTTTTTTTTTTTTTGATTGGAGTCCCACTCCGTTGCCCAGGCTGGAGTGCAGTGGCACACTCACAGCCATCCCAGCATTGACCTGCTGGGCTCTGGTGATCCTTCTGCCTCAGTCTTCCAAGTAGCCGGAACTACAGGTGTGCACCACCACGCTGGGCTAATTTTTGATGTGTTGTAGAGACAAGACCTCACCAAGTTGGCCCGGGCTTTTGTCGAACCTGCATGCTCAGGCAACCCATTAGCCTCGGCCTCCCAAAGGACTGGGATTGCAGACTGAGCCACGGAGCCCAGCCTGAACATATTCTTTAATATTTTCGGTATCTTCTGTGAAGTAGAAGTTCATAGTCTCATTTGTCAGTCCAGAAAACTCAGGATGATTTTTATTTAATTAAGCTAAAGTGCAGATCTGGGGAATAGGACGGGCAGATAAGTTGCAGATGGATCTTGAATGGGGGTCTACCTATTGGCAGGGGATGCACATGATTCAAGCTGACTGGGACAGGATAGGGAGGGGTAGGGACTGTGGAAAACTAGAGAGATCACAACCCTTTCTTGAAAAGACAGTTGCTGGCCAGGCTCAGTAAAAAAATAAAATAAAACCCTCAGCAGTGTCCACAGCAATTCTTTAGACCGACAGAAGGTTTTTAGAGGTGTGTATTTTATCACCAACATCGATTATTGCCTGTGTTTGGTGATAGTAAAACCAGACTATTCCATCAGTCCATTGCTACTGTTTTAAAAACTCCCTGTAGGCCGGGCTCGGTGGCTCAGCCTGTAATCCCGCCTGGGCAACCTGGTGAGACCTCATCTCTACAATAAATTTAAAAAAAAAAGAAAGAAATTAACCGGCGTGGTAGTGTGTGCCCCTAATTCTGGCTACTTGTAAGGCTGAGGCTGAAGGATCGCTGGAGCCCAGCAAGTCAAGGCTGCAGTGGCTGGGAGCGGCCACTGCACTCTAGTCTGGGTGACAGAGTGAGACTCCAACTCAAAAAAAAAAAACTCCCTGTAGACAATGCACCCTCTTACAAAGCCTGCACCGAGAGCAGACTGCTCTTATTGCCCGTGCTTGGACACCACTCACATTGATGTCCTTGCAAATGCCGGCCAGTCCTGGCTGTGTGGTCTTGAGAAAGTTGCAGAGTTACATTTTCTTTTTTTTTTAAAGTCGGAGTCTCACTCTGTCGCCCAGACTGGAGTGCAGTGGCCGCTCCCGGCCACCGCAGCCTCGACCTGCTGGGCTCCGGCGATCCTTCTGCCTCAGCCTTCCGAGTAGCTGGAACTACAGGCGCGCGCTACCACGCCTGGCTGATTTTTTTTTGATTTATCGTAGAGATGAGGTCTCGCCAAGTTGCCCAGGCGGGTCTCGAACCCGCGGGCTCAGGCAATCCACTCACGTCAGCCTCCCAAAGCGCGGGATCACATGCTTAGCCACAGAGCCCGGCTTGGAGCCCTCTTACAGAAAGGTCCCTCTGGCCCCTGCTTCTTGGCCGACCGCAGGCTCTCTGCTCTTTGGCCTACTGTGCCCTTCACCACGCGTCTTCCCTCAAATAAGTATGTTTCTTTCTTTGTTTTTGAGTTGGAGTCTCACTGTGTTGCCCAGGCTGGAGTGCCGTGGCCTGCTCATGGCCACCCCAGCGTCCACCTGCTGGGCTCTGGCGATCCTTCCACCTCACCCTTCCAAATAGCTGGAATTACAGGCTTGCTGTAGTGTGCTGGGCTGACGTGTGGCCCATGTGGGCAGGATTCAGCCTGGGGTGTTTTAAAATACAAACTCTGGCTGGGCGCGGTGGCTCAAGCCTGTAAACTCAGCTTTGGGCGCTCAAGGGTCTGAGACCAGCCTGGGTAACATGGGGGGAGACCTTGGCGCTACAGTGAATCAAAAAATTAGCCGCGTGTGGTAGCACGCCCTGTAGTTCCCGCTGCTTGGAAGGCTGAGGTGGAAGGATTGCAGGAGCCCTCCAGGCTGATGCTGGGGTGGCCGTGAGCGTGCCACTACCCTCCAGCCTGGGCGAGGGAGTGAGACTCCAACTCCAAAAAACCCTCCAAACCAAAAGACCTGTAAGAGGGAGCTGAGGGACCATTTGGCTCAGAGCAGAACCCCTATCCCAGCTCTGGGGCCTCTCGATTTCCTTCAACACATGTTCCTTGGTCTAGGGCCTTCCAGCTTCAGGGGACTCCGAAGCACCCCTCATCACCCCCCAAAAGCCCCATGATCCCAGAGGGGCAGGCTGCGACCACCTGGGCCTCTGAAGCCCAGTGAGGTGTCTGCGTCTGCCCAGGCCAGAGGCCACCTCCGCCAAAAAGCCGTGAGTCTCTCCTTCCTTGTCCCTCCGTGGCATCAATGTCTTGGCTGTCGGCCCACACTTCCTGGGCTCCTCACACCACCTGAGCCTGTGCACCCTCGGGCCTCCCCCCTCCCTTTTCTGACGTCCCTCTAGGCTGGGCCTTCCCTGCAAGGCCAGATTGATACTTGAGTCGAGAAGCACCTGGTGCCGCTGCCCCCAGGCTGTGCAATTGACAACTGACTACGAACCGCAGAGCGCACAGTGTCGACTGGATTTAAGCCTTCGATGTCTGCCTGCAGAGGAATTCAGCCATGCTGAATTTCTTTTCTGGGGGCCGGGGAGGGAATACGGTGTGCTTCTGCAGCGGGGGTGCCCGAGGTCTGGCCTTTGGGTCGCCTCCTAAAGGCTTCGGGAAGGCAGAGGGTGCAGCGGGGAAGGAGGAGCGGGGACCTGGGAGCCCCGCGCTGCCCAGCTGGCTGAGACCTCCCCTCGTGGAGAGAGGGGGTCGGCGGTCGCAACGCCTCCCCGTTGGCTGCGAGGAGGCGGAGGAAGGGGAAGCCGGCCCTGGCGCCCCAGCAGGTGGCCTGCCCGGCGGAGGCGGGGGCCCTCTTCTGGGAACAGGGGCCGCGGCGAG